CCCCCTCTCTCTCTCTCTCTCTCTCTCTCTCTCTCTCTATATATATATATATATATATATATATACTAGAGAGTACTATAGAGGCTGCAACATGTATGTCTGTTCTTGGGGCTTCTTATTTACTAGCTGTGTGCTCATATTACATTCAGTTGAAAATAAACGTGACCATAAACCTATAGACCAAGGCTTCTATATCTTTGTAGGGTGGCTCATCAACACTTTTTGTCAGTGACAAAGGTCATGAGGGAATTAAACATCCGCCAATACATTTTCGATCCCAGACGTTTGGTATCTGGGAGGATAGCACTCAGCTACAAAAGCCTAAAACCAGTCTTATCCTCAGCACAGAATGATCAACATGACCTTTTCAGCAGATGTCCTGCACATATATGGGCACCCTAAGGAAACATTTATGCCTACACTATTTATTTGAGTCTCATATAGGCATTTTTATGACATTTTGATGTATATACAGTAGAGGGACTACCAATCCCAGCAATACATTATATAGCAATACAGAATACCACCAGCTATAGAGGACTACAAATCCCAGCAATACATTATATAGCAATACAGAATACCACCAGCTATAGAGGACTACAAATCCCAGCAATACATTATACAGCAATGCAGAATAATATGAAGCTACATACTCTGTGTTGCTCACCAGGGCTGCATGCAGGGTCTCACCAGGGCTGCGTGCAAGGTCTCATCAGGGCTGCGTGCAGGGTCTCACCAGGGCTGTGCGGGCTGGTGCGTGTCTCACCAGGGCTGTACAGGTGGGTGTGGACCTCACCAGGGCTATGTAGGCGGGTGCAGGTCTCACAAGGGCTGTACAGGCGGGTGTACGGGATTCACCAGGGCTGTACAAGTGGGTCTCATCAGGGCTGTGCAGGTGGCAGGAAGAAAAAGGAGATATGTGGCTGGACAGGCGCTGTAAACAGGCAACAAGAGGTCCCCACAAGGCTGTCGTGAGGTCCCTAGCAAGAGCATGACATTAAAAATGTAAAGGGCCAGTATCGGCACTTAGTATCAGGGCATTTTCACAAGTACAAGCACTCGTGAAAATGCCCAGTATGAGCACCAATCCCTAATATTCAGAATAAGTTGTATCTTCAGGCTCCCTTTTATCCTACCTATTTCCTTCAAGAAGGATAGATAGATGAAAGAGAGTGGAGGCTGAAATTCAGTCCACATTATAATGAATTTTCTGAGGTTGATCTGGAGATGATGCCCATACCTGTATCACCACCTTCCAAATCATAGAATACTATAGATTTCAGATTGCTAAGGCCTGTTATAATTAATATAAGTTCTGTTATTTACTTTGAACAGAATACAGTTTATCCAGAAATGCTAATTAAAATGTATGATATCGAAAGCAGTCCACAGAGTTTAGGCTTTAGCACGTTACTTCTCTGACTGACAGTCCATGCAGGTAGGCAAAAACCTACATGGTGATCCATCTTTTTTTGTCACTATTTCACTATTTAATGCTATAATCATGCTCTAGTTATACATTTAAACCATACTTAAAGAGCAAATGCAGCAGAACCCCTTTAAGGCCAAATAGACCAGCTTTGACATGTTGCTGAGATGACGTCTTACTAAACCTGAGACCTGCAATTTTCCTGATGGGGAGAGGAAGTGGTCTGAAATCCAGACCACCAGAGAACCTAGGTTACATTTTTCATCCAAGATAAACTTTTTTTTTGTCTTAATAATGCTGTCTTTGTTCATTCATCTCTGCATAATTGTACATTAAACATTGTAACCATTTTTGGTCATTTGGCATAGAGACCTCAGTGAACAGTGCCCAGATATGTTTGGACCAGCGGCGTCTGCCGGTAAATGTGAAAACTATGAAATACTGAAAATGTAATATTCCTGTAAATGATACAAGCTTCTGCTGATTGAGCAGATGTAAACCTACACAGAGCTGCACTGACCATGGGGAGCTCACCCTACATGCTCTGAACACTGGATGCTTGTGAAGGGTGGGAGAAAGATCGTCCAAGGGTCTAATCCTTTAGAAACAAATGATCATTTTCTATGTACTGTCGAATACAATTTGCAGCTAGTCAGCAAATTAGACTGTTAGTAATTAACAGAGTATGTCATCATAACCAGCTCTATTGTGCCCATGTGGTTTTAGATTTTAAAGCCCAACACACATCAATGTTTTTTCCCCCCGTTTTGCATACATGGGGAAGAGATAGAACCTCTATCTGTGTCCCTGTTAGGAAACGTTTCCCTCACTTTTTTTCTTACTGTCACAATAACAGGAATTTAGGGAAAATATGTGACATAAATATCAATGAAAGTAATTTTTAATAGTGTGTAGAAGAGCTTGAACCCTTTTCTGGGTCTTTTTTTTTATATCTTCGGCTGCATGCTGAGGGAAATCTCTCCAATGGTGACACAGCAATTACAACTGACCATTAACTATTCTCTGCTTAAAATACAATGAGCTATCATTTTCCATTGTGAACAGACATCAGCAGGGGATATGCAATCAAATATTTCATAGTTTTCTTCGGAAGAGGAAGTTAAGGAGACATCTTCCAACGGGGATGTTTGTTTTTCTAACTTTCTAAGAGTAAATGTCCCTCAGTTTGAAGAGATATTTTCTTACTTCCTGTTGTGCCTCCAAGACAGAAAGCAAGGGGAAACTGATGATTGGGGTCCTCATCATTTCCAGGATATCATTGGAAGAATTGTGATATCACCTTGCCTGCAGAAGGCAGGAGTAAGGTGGTTGATTTTCTAAATTTTCCACATGTATCAGAAATCAAGATGTAAAGGGCAGGGAAGGCCTGATGTATGTAGTGGACCTTGCCTTTTATAACGTCATATTAGAACTTTGCTTGCCTCTAAATCTGAATGTGAACATTTGTTCTTATGATTTTCACAAAAAGTAGCCTCTGCTTATGCATTTTTGCACCATTTGTTCAGTCTGAATTGCTGGGGCTTTGTGCTAGGTTCACTTTAAAGAAATAACATTGTTTTTTGTTTCTGAAATTATGAACTATTTTTTATTTTTTTATTTTAGAGCTCTGCAAATGTAAGCCTATGAAAGCCTCACAAAAGACTTACATGAAGAGCAATTACAACTATGGTAAGTAGGCACTCAAAGTAGGCATTTACAGATGCAGTCAAAGTTACACTCAAAGACAGTAGAGCAATGCTCCAGATGTGCATATAAATATACCTGTTTATATCTCTGGATTTACTGATACAAGAAATAGGCAGCTGAAGCTGTATTCAAATCTTTACTATGAAGTTGAGCTTGTTCTTGCTCATCCTGCTTCTTGAACTTCTCTATTTGGACTTGAATCATTATGTCTTCTTAGAATTCAAATGTATAAGAGACTTGCAGACAATAAAGGCAGGAGAGCCCTCCTGCTGTATTATGGTAATGCAAAACAGTGTAAGGGGTTTTGGAGAAAAAATTAATAATATGGTAACTCACATCTGGTAAGGTTGCAGGGGACCACTTGGGTGGTGTACACAAACTTAAGTATTCGCGTGTGGAGGATGCATCTGTCTCCACGGAGGTCTTTAGGCAGAGCTTTTGCTCAATGCTCTTGGGTGGCCCAATTCCAGTTCTAACTGGTGGAACCTCGAAACGGTGCTGCAATAGTGTAGTGACATACCAAAACAAACATCAGGTGACAGAGGTGCAAAGCTTAATAAATATCTACTTTTTAATTAAGCCAATGGCGGTTTGAAACTGATGTTTTCCTGTTCAGTTGGGCACCTCCTGATGGCTTTTACGGTATTTCGCTACACTTTCATTTGGTGGGTGACCCTGTTGGCATATAAATAGGCTCTGAAGGTAGGTGGAGTTAAACCAAACTTATGCATAAATGAAAGAGCTGAATTATTTTGTGTTTTTTATGTCTTCTTGGAGTTCAGATTTAACAGTTTTTCCTAAATTACTGTTTTTCCATTTGAGACTTTTCTGCACATTTAAGGCTTTTATTATGGTTCTAAACCTCTAGTTAACTACATCTCCAGAGATATTAAATAGATATGAAAGTACACCTTTATACATCTGCTTTTTATCTGCTGTCTGGAGACTTGCAAAATTATGTAATTGCAACACTTTTCATGTTCTTAGAAGTTGAAAAAGTACTGGCAGTTCTCTTGGTATGCTCTTGGGTGGCTCATTGTCAACTGGCGAGCCTTATTTATCTATTTTCAGGAGCATATCTTCCATTAGGAGAAAGGGGTTTTTGGCGAACATCACAGAATTTCAGATTTTAATTTATGCCTACTTATAGCGGAGAGCTCACAAGCATAATTGGAACACAATTTCAGGCTCTGCTCATAAAATTCTATATAAAAAATAAGCAAAAACACAATTTTTTTGAAGTGCATAGTGAAACTCAGCCAGTAGCAGCATGTCTTTGTGGAAATAACCATTAACCAGTTATTTATGGTGAGGTGGGCTTAAAGCCCAACTCCAAGCAAATGTTTTATTTCGTTTTGCATAGGGCAGGAAAGAGTTAAAGTTTCTCTCAGGTTTTTATTTATGGCTGCCACTAACGATTATTTTCATAATCGGTTAGTTGGCCGGTTATTTTTTCGAATAATCAATTAGTCGGGTAAACAAAATCTAATATCATCTTTTATTTAAATGACACAAAAGGAGTATTACAAACATAAAGTTTACTTCAGATTAAAATTGCATACAGTTTTCCTTCAGGTCCAGTGAGTGGGTGCAATAGCCAGCCTACTATTGGCTATTGCAATTTGAAATAGCCAATAGCAGTCAGGCTATTGCACCCAATATAGAGTTACAGTGGCATTGGCTGACAGCCGGTCTTTCCTCCCCACTAGGTGCCGGCTGGATTGGTCTGTGTCCCCTCCAATCCCAACTGCCTCTGCGGATACAGGCGGGGAGAACAGTGGGGGCTGGAGGGGACAAAACCGCAACATACAGCTGGCTCCCAGCAGAGAGAAGAGAGCAGCAGAGTGGCGGCGGCGAGAAGGAGGGGATATGTGAGAGCTCTCCTCACCACTGGGCACCAGCTGCAGGGGTCTGTGTCCCCTCTGTTCCCTGCTCGGGGCAGTGATGAGACAACGAAACACCGGCTCCCAGAGAACTAGGGGATAAACACCAACTTACTGATAATGAGAATTGTTGACAACTATTCTCATTATCGATTATTATCGATTAGTTGGCTGCAGCCTTACTTTTAATGCCATCTTTATCGCTAATTACATTTCCTCTAACTTTTTGTCATGACAGGAAATGCTGCAAAATGACTCAATTAGAGACTCAGACAAAAAATAATTTCTAGTAGTGTGGAGTAAGGTTGGAACCACTGACAATGTTTTTATTGCTGCCTGTGGGGTGCCCTCACCCCACCACCCCTCCATTTCTTGTATGTCATCAGGACAGGAAGTGAAGAAAAATCATCATAGGCAGAAATAAATTCCTAATGGACCAAATAATTTTTTTTCCATATTTTCTTTGTTTCATGACTGCACCCAAGGTTCCCTAAGCGAACCATTTAGTTAGCACCAGTTCTTGAGGTATCTTTGGTTAACTGACAAATCTTTTGTATTATGTTATATACGGTATGTTTATGTAACATCGCTGGTACTGAACACCTTTGGTACTATATTGTTCAGGATCTTTAAAGTGACACTAAACTCAGGAGTTAAATTAATGCATTCAAGTACCTTAACTAGTAACAAGTACAAATGTATAAATTTACAAATGAGTAAATGTGAGCTTGTAGTCCATCACGGGAGTGAGCTTGGAACGGTGGCTACTTTACAACACACAAAGGGACCATGGGGAAAAAAAGGAGCCCCCCTCCAGAAGGAAGGTCAATGTCAGCACCAATTCAGAGATGATTTGAGGATCTACAGCGGAGTGATACACAAATAAGATACATTTCTGTTAATAGTTAAGGTACTTGAATGTATTTTTAAATTTAACTGCAGTTTAGTGTCACTGTAATGTACTTCACAAATTGTAGACTTTTAAAAACAATAAATAAAGTCTGGAGAAAATTGTCTACACTTAAGCTTTTAAGAGAATCATCTCCGTCATCTCCTAGCAAAAATAAATAATAATATTCACTTGTCATGGTTCTCAAGGCACCACACTTCTTTATGTTGCGGACCTACTGCTGCTTGAAGAATCTTCTTCATCCAAAACTTCTGGGTAGGGATGCATCAAAATGAAATTTTTAGACTGAAACCAAACCCAAAATTTAAAAAAATTGTCAGGCTGAAACCAACATTAATTTTTTCCCCAACCTTTTATATATTTATTAAAATTATTTTGTAATTATTTTCTTTCTTTATTTTCTTTTAATTTACTGTTAGGGGCTTTGGGGGAATACCAGGGGTCTAAACAGACCCCTGATATTTCCCTTTTAAAATAGAAAAAGAGATTGAGGACACAGAGTCCTCAATCTTTTTTTGTGCAGCCCCAGCACTTAATGAACAGAAAGCTCTCAGTACAGAGGCTTCCTGTTCATTTACAATCTGTAGATAGTAAATATTTGCTATCAACCCAGTCATGAATGGACAGGAATCCTCTGTACTGAGCTGCTTTTTATTCGTTCATAAAGTGAGCACATAGTAAATATTTACTATGTCCCCATACATAAATGAACAGGAAGTGATGTATAGCACTTCCTTTTCATTCATAACTGGGGACATAGTAAACTTGTGCATTATTGGTTACATTGTTTGAATTTTTCATGCATGACAGATCCTCATCTATTCTTTCCACAAATGTAGTCATTCGGGCCAAAGTGAAAGAAGTGAAGGTGAAGTGCCATGACGCCATTGCAGTGGTAGAAGTGAAAGAGATTCTCAAGTCTTCCCTGGTGAACATTCCAAAAGACACCATCACCCTGTACACAAACTCTGGCTGCCTGTGCCCACAGCTGGTCGTCAATGAGGAGTATATTATCATGGGCTATGAAGACAAAGAGCGTGCCAGGTACTGTTACCAGCAGGCTTTTCATTAAAGCAGTGTAATAAGAAGTATTGATGTACAAAGCACAGTGACCTATAGAAAACCATCAAAAGAGAAAAAATAATCCTCTTTAGGTAAACTTTATACATACTCTATATGCATTTCTGTTCTTCATATGTCAATGGTAAGTCTTGCCAGCACTTTCATTATAATGACTACTAAGTGGCAGGATCTGCCTTTGTTATACCCACCTGATTGGTCTCAGTGTTTTGATAAGAAATCTTACAGGCTCTGCTTTCCTTTAGGTGGAAATACTCACAAAAATTAACTCTATTTGATTTTAAGCGTTGTGTGTCTTAATGCAGATGAAGAGAGCAAATCAACCAAAGCATTAATTTACACAATGACTGGAGCAGCAGTTATATAGGTTAGGTCAATCTTTAGCAAAAGTGTTTTTTTTCATATCCTACTACTATTACTGTTCTTATGTATATGGGTGCCTCGCTAGTAAGAACTATAGTACAAAGTATGCCTTGCAAACAGCTTAACAACACTAAAAAATAGTATAAAGTGGTGTTACTAGTGACACTTAATATTGCATTTATATTTTCCTTATAGACTTCTGCTAGTGGAAGGTTCCTTAGCTGAGAAGTGGAGGGATCGTCTCGGAAAAAAAGTTAAGGTAAGACCAAACAAATTAATAATAATATTAATAATAAAATGGCATAGAGACGTTTTGTTTTAACTTCATGAGCTAGAAAAGAAGGACGGCTTTCACTTCCACGTTTATTAAAGCCAAAACTTAATAAAAAAAAGCCCCAGCCAATGTTTAAAAAATGAAAAAACAGCATCCTCCCTCAGTACCTCCTCTATGCCACAAGATGTCCTCAGTCTTCTGTGGTTGAATTACGCTTGTCATCATTCAATCCAGACGACTGAGGAAATACTGTCAGTGCAGCGAGCCATGGACCCCGCACATCACAGAGGACTCTGTGCTTAACATGGCCAGCCTGAAGACTTTGGCTGACTCATTAAGAATAGTGAACTTCCTGTGAGTCTAATAACGTATCTCAGCAGTTGCTATGGAGCAATTGTGAGTGAGACTGAACAAAATACAAAGTTCCCTTTAGTCGCTAATCTGTGTATTTCACAAATAACAAAACTACTGAACCATAATCATTTACAGAAAAATGCTTCATGTAGATCTGTGGTCAGCAAACAAGATTGGATGACTACACATCAGCTATATGCAACCTCTTTCTTTATTCTTTCATAAAAGCATAACACAAGAGATGAATGAAGGTCTCAGTTCATCTCCTGTGTTATGCTTTATGAAAGAATAAAGAAAGAGTTTGGATATAACTGATGAGCAGTCATCCAATTCTCTTGTATCGTGGCTGTCAGTAAATGAGCTGGGCAAGCATGGACTAACGTGGAGTGACACCCTGCTTTCCTTACCTTGTATACATGTAGATTTGTGGCCAGGCTATGGATAGCCAAGGACTTACATGTTCTTAACAAGCAGTAATCAAACTATAGAGCATGCCCCCACTGGCCTCCTTAGCTGCAGGCACTGTGGAGCAATTCATCCTCAGAGTTCACAAGAGAAACTCTAAAGTTGTTCAAGTAAGGACTCAGTATTCAGCTCCCCACTCCCAGAGCTCCTGCTGTAATTACATTAGATATTAGAAGGCTGGAACACTGCCAAGTCACTTCTGGGAGGGGAAGCTATGCTATGGCTATTCTAAACTTTGAGGATGAATCATTCCACAGTGCCTCAGGCTACATAGGTCAATGAAGGTTTTTTTTTTAAAGTGTGCATAAACCAAAATCTATATTTTAGCATGTTTGGCATAATACCTTAATATATACAGTTTTCTCAGGCAAATCAATTTTTTTATTCTGTTGCAAAGTTTATTTCCTGAAAATACTGCCAATAACAACACTAAGTAGCCTTGCACTCTCCTTCAGTTGCCTTTTAGGCTACTTATCAGGTCTATGAGATTGGAAGCCCAATTGCCAAGTGAAGAAGTGCACATACCCAGCTGACAACATTGCTGCTTTTTGTGAAGGAGTGGGTTAGTGTTGCCAGCCTGCAACAGAAAACATTGTTTCTGGCAGGAAGCGATGCAACAGATTTACAAAAAAAAAATATTTGCTTAAGAAAAGTTTATTCAGGGAAGCATGATACCAAATAGATTTATGAGTTCCACTTTAATGCTAATCTACTGCATAATGCATATTGAGGACATTAATGCTTAAAATGTCCATTGCCTACTTAAGCTAATGGTAGATAGTGCCTTGAGTTCTTCTCAAGCTAATGGTAGATAGTGCAATAATAACTTAAAACATGTGCTTACTGAAAATAAAAGACTGCTACATTTAGTTACTTGCATAAATCTTCTTCAGCAAAAAAACATTGTTTGTTGAAAACACACTTCGCATATTTTCTATCATACGATAAAAAATAGGTCCTAACAGGCTCACTTCACTAAGCTAAAATTATTATTTGCCATAAGAATTAGTATTTCCAGCAATGAAAGCCAATTAGAGCTAAAGATAACAATAACATGGTTCAAAATAATGATTATTATGGCAAAAAACATCTGGAATAGCTTAGTGGATTGAGTGTAATTTTTACATAAAACTAATTTATTAAATTATATTATCATTTTAAGGAGCTTATTAATAATGGAGAACAGATAATGGATATATTATAAACAGCTACGTTACTCTACACCGCGGCCTGTATTTTGCAAAATGCAGGCTGCAATGTAGAACCTGCAAAAACTGAGGTTCTAATAAATTCAGACTACCCAAACCTAACAACAATGGCTTCAGAATGTGTTGTGCTTCGGGATGGAGGTAAACAGAATCTTGCAAACAATAACAGGATCCCCTGTGTGTAATTCCTCATATTTTCCATTTTTTCCAGCGTTGGGATCAGAAACTTCGTCGCCCTCGAAAAAGCAAGTCTTCTGTGGCACAAAATGGCAATAAAAACAGCAACTCAAGACAAACACAGAGTTAGACTAGCAGGATGATGAATATAAAACTCTGTGGACTTTTATACAAAGATTTGCATTGGTGGAACAGAAAAGAAGAAAATTGCACTATTGCACGTTATAACCTTTTGTTTACTACAAGATATTGTAGTTGATTTTAGTTGTTTTTTTTTTCTCTTTTATATTGCACGGATTACTAAGCTACTAGTTTTATTCCACTTTCAATAATGTCGAAGTTGTTTGTTTATCTAAGAAATTAGCCAGATGGATTGTGAAGCGTGGAGAGGATTTATGTTAAAAATGTTCCTGTTTGAGTGTAATGGCCTTAATGGGACTCACCTATGAAAGTTGTCCAAGGGACTGTGTTGCCCATAGGAACCAGAGGTTTCCTTTCATGTCATTCCCTTTCAGAGGAAGTATACCAGTAGTTGCTATAGACAACAAAGATGGTTCTATCCAACACTTTCACACCTAAGGTCTATGCACATTTTTTTTGTTTGCGTTAAGGCAGCCCGTTCATATTGAATGAGCTGGCAGCACACCATACCGCATAAAAAGTGCATCTGGTCACACAGCATACCATAATGAACATTATGGGGCTGGTCTATAAATGCCCTGCCCAGCATATATAGATGGGTGGATGTCGTTCACACGGCACTAGCACCACTAGATGGCACTAAGGAGTAAAGTGATTTCCTATGTTCCTCAGCACTATCTATGGGCACTAGGAGCACAGGACATTTATAAATGAGTCCCTATGTGTGTTGTGGTACACAGTTATATGCTAGCAGCTACTGTACATGCCTTCTAGGGTGCCCTTCCATATGTTGCAGTAATACGCAACTGATAGGTCACTGGCAAGCCTTAGGCTGGATTCCCATTGATCCACATGCGTTGCAGCATATGTGGTAACGCACATGCGAATGTGTGAATGGAGCCATATAGTTTCCATTCCCCTTTCACAATAAACTGCGGAGATGTGAACTAGACCCACAGGAAAGAATAGGATTTTTCAATGCATATCACTGCAGCAAAATAGGAATAGGATCTTAAAGCTGAGCGTCAGCATTCACTTCAGTCTTGCGAAGTTGGACAGACTCCTCTCCTGTACTGAAATGTTTATGGTGATTTCACGGCATGCTATGAGTCTGACTAATTTCCTGGCTGGAGGACATCAAGCATTATCTAGCGCTTTGCACAACTCCTGACTGTCCTTGCCCCCACTTTCATTAATTGGTTTTCAATTCTTTCAATCATAGAGGATCAGTATCAATGTTACCTAGGGACTCAGTATGTGTGTGTTACCTAGGGTGGTCTGCATGCAAATGTAGCCTATCTGGGAATACACATTCCTCCAGACTGACATCCTCTCATCAAGGCATTTTGATATCTGTAAAACTCCTCCCAAGAGCCAGCCCACTGGTTGCATCAGGACTGATGGCTCTTAAGATTAGTACCGAGGCAGGGTGCTGTGATGTTTTTAGGAAGACATGTACTGCACCCTGCAAGACCCTCCCACCAGCCAAGATCTGGTTGCTTTGCATGGAGAAGCACAGAAACCTAGCAATGATGTCACTCGGTATAAAATAATGTGTCGAAAGCCAAAACATTTGGACTAGTTTTTAGATAGAGCAATGAGGGGTTAGAACCCCTCTCAGGTTTGTATTGACATGTCTCCCCCGCTACGGAGATTCACTTCTCTGTTTGTCCTGGTGACCTTTTACCAGTAATGAAAGTTAGCAAAAATTAGAAAAATTTCAAGTTTTTATCAGAACATGAATAGAGCCGAAAAGGGACATTTGTCCTGGTGGCAACTGTTTAAGGCCCCGTTTACACCAGGGCGGTTCGGTCGTGCGGATTTGTCCGCGCTAAACCGGCAACGTGAACGATCCCATACATTCCTATGGGGACCGTTCACGCGATCGCGCGACTCCACGAGATCAGAACCGCCTACTGCCCAAAAACGCCCCAAAATGCCCTTTTAAAATTTGAAATGCATCTGCCCTGGTGTGAATGGAGCCTTAGGGGTAAACACACAGCTGTTGGTGTGCAGGCACAGTGCTGATGTGCTGATCCTGGCGCATTGCACTGTTTATTGTTTTGCTAGAACCTTATTGAAATGTCACGAATGACATTTCATTAAAGTTCTATCAGCACAGCAGGGTGCGATGCAATTGTACCGCACCACACCATGTTGCGCTAAAAAAAAAAAGCACGCTGTACGTTTTTCCAGGACACACCACTGCAACGTACTCGTGTGAATTGCGTTCATTTAAAACAAAGCAAACTGCATGTCTATGTGTTGGGGCTGCGCTGGAAAAAAGGTCCAGCACATCCCCTATGTATCTGGTGTGAATAGGCACTTTGGAGAAATTTAGATGTGGATTTACAAAAGGAGTTAAAAAATCTTCACTCAATAAAATGTGTGAATATTTACTTCAATTATGAAGTCATATGGAAAGCAGGTTTCCAAAAGGAATTGGATAAATGAAATTAATTTTTTCGGGTGAAGATTCTTAACAACTTTGATAAATCAATCTCTAACTCTCATTTCCTGTTTTGTCTACTGAACAAGAAGTGAAGGAAAATCTCCCCCAAAAGGACACAGATTACAAAAATCATAACAGGGGTTTTAATCCTCCCGTGTTCTATCTAAAATAAAAATAAAAGTTTTGGCTTTAGATATATTTAAACCTCATTTTTCCATTGGTGGTTGGAGTATGAGCTGAAGTACCAAAGCTTCCACTGGAGGATTGTCATGGAACTGAGATATAAGGCCTTATTCAATAAAACAGTACAAGCTGCAAAGCACTATGTACAAAGAGTAGTATCTATAGCAACCAATCTGATTCCATTTTGTGCTTACTCGTGGCATGACTTCAATAAATTGAACTGGGATTGGTTGCTATGTGCTAGTGCACTTTTTTTATGCGCTGTTTATTAAAGAAGCCTGTCCCAGAGCCATCATCATAAGCCTCCCAAACAATGCCTTTTTTTTTTTTTGGACCATCTCATATAAACACAATCTCACCAGTGGCTAAAATTTAGAATGTTAAACAGTATTTTTTTGCTTTACTGTATTTAGCATAGAGGGTGATTTATAAGCAGCCAAGCTATCATTGGTTCAAAATTTAAATTTTTTCATGTGTTGCTAAACCTTTGCTTCAAGCACAACCAATAGGATATCAAAACCATTTGTGATGTCATAGAGATTCATTGCTAAAAGGCCACACCTTGAGTGATTGTGTTCTGAAGGTTATCAAAAATCTGGGAAACAGGAAAGCTCCAGAATAATATTAGGTTAATGGAGAGAAGAACAATGACCGATATTACCATATTCCTGAGCTGTGGTGGCATCAGGGTCACTTTCAATAGCTGGGAGGCTCTAGGATGGGTTTCAGAAGTACAGTTATATATGTTGTGGAGAACACGATTTATCATCTTTGTAAGGATTATCAAAAATATCAATAATATTCATAGGTGTATACAATGGGTAGGTTTTTGCCACCATTCAGTACGTTCTCATATTTAAAAAAACCTGCCAACTTAAAGAGGAACTTTACCCACCAATTTAGGGGTCTCCCAAAATAGGTACTTTTAAGCCATGACAGCTGTCAAGGTTTTCATTGTGCCTTTTTCATCTCTCAACTGAACATTCAAGCCCTCGAATGGCTGGTGTCATAGCAGGTCACATGTCTAGCACCACGGCAATTGCAATCCAAATAGAGGCTCAGATGGCACCTTCCTTGACTGCGAGGGATAAGAGGTTGTAGTTTCTCTTTAACTCACTGGTTTGAAAGACACTATAGGCTGAATTAATAAAGCCTTAACACAAGGATAAGGATCTATATTTGATCCATGAGTCTGTTAATTTCATAACTCTTCTGACTTAGCTATAAATAATTGCTGCCCCTTTTTTTGGTGAATTGAGCCCTAAAGATTATGCGAACCATCTCCCTACTGTGAGTGCTTAGGAAGTTCAGTCCACATTAGCTGGGTCTCAGAACACAGCTGGTAATGTTTTCTCCTCTAATGATGAGGGTTTCTTAATAAAGGAGCCTTCCATAGTATCCAGATCATTACTAGACCACTGGCATCTGACCTGATCTCAGATTTAGATTGAGGATTGAGATTAGTCTAGTGGTCTTCCTTGGAAAGATAAGTTGTAAAGTGCTGTAACCCATAACAACCAAGCTGGTTGCTATGGGTTACTGAACTGTTACTGAACTAGGCACATCAGCATTGCTCTTAGAACTGTATTATAGAATAAGCCATTGTAGCATTCAGAACCACCCCATAATATAATTCTCCTGTACGTAAGGGCTCAAATTGATTACACTCGATAATTAATTACCCTTTTAAAAGACCAAAATATTGCAATGATAGTGATCTATATATTTGTTGAGTTGAATTGAGTTTTACTGGCATAAAGCAGCAACGTAGGGATTATTGTACTTTTTTAAAGTTTTTATAAACATTTTATTTAGTTGACTTGTGTTTGTCCTGGTGTGATTTTGTTATATATATAAAGAAATGTTTGAAGGGAATATTTGCCGCTGTTCACTCCCTTTATGACTGTAAAATGTATTGTTCATGAGATAGAACATTCTACAATTAGGACTTTCATTCCCAGAAGTATGCATTTAACCGAAACTTAAAGTAGAACTGAAGCCAAAATGTTTTTAGGATTGGATAGAGTAAAGGAGGATTATAACTAGAGGTGCACCAAAATGAAACTTTGAAACCAAAATCGAAAATTAAAAAAATCAAGCCGAAACCGAAAAAAAAATTTCTAAACTTTTTAATTAAAAAAAAAATATACTTTACTTGTATTTATTTTTTCTGAATCATGAATGAATAGGAAGAGATGTATAGCACTTTCTATTCCTTCATAATTGGGGACATAGTAAACATACTATGTCCTCAAAGAGGTTAGTGATTGCTGATCGCTGACTGATTGTACTCACTCTCTGTCCTGACTTGCCTTCACAGGATGCAGAGCGGACGGTGCAGGGAGGAGAGCTCAGTCTATTTTGACAGCTGACTCCTCCTCCTCCACCCCACTGGCTCATCCTTCTGTGACAGCTGACACCTGTCTCCACCCCCACACTGCCGCTCTGCATCCTTTTTCTTTGTTGAAGATCTCTTTCTTCTTCAATCAAGACTTGTTGTTACACTGCTGAGCTCAACTCTTTATGCAGCTATCTGGATTGGCTAATCCTCAGCACTGCCTTGGAAGCTGTTCCTGGACCCCTCTGCATCAAAGATTGCAGGACCTGTCTGTCATCTGACACTTGGGCACTGGGCTCTGCGTGTGGCACTCCCCAGACATGTAATGTACTGGTTTGTTAGCTGCAGAGATCTTTTCCTAGCTTCTGGTACCTGGTCTCTGAAAATTCACTTGTGGGTATGCCTATAGGCAGAGTGAAGATAACCTGGAATGTGACCTTTGG